AAGTTTCCTTTCCCCTTTGTTTCAGTTGCCTGGTGTTAAGAAATGAGCAACTGGAGTGCTGTGGGAGGTCGGAGGATGTGGAGGGAGTGAGGGGATGGATGGGTTCAGTGGATGTGACTTAAACATAGCAGGAGGCTGAGCATAATGTCAGGGATCCTGCAGGGAGAGCTGCTCCTGCTGGTGCTGCAGAGCAAGTGCTCTCTTCTCCCACTTCAGCTTCCAGAGCTTTCTTGAGGGGGGGTTTCTTGCTTCTGTACTATACAAAGCTTCTGTTCACTCCTTCCTACAGCAGTTTCCAGGAGCTGGAAGAATCCATGCCCTTTTTGCAGAAGCCCTTGTGCTTCAAGGGATTTTGGACACATGGCTTCCATTGACACGGTAACAAGAGCCCTGTGAGCAGCCTGGGACTTCAGTTAAACTTTTAACCTCTCCAGCTCTTGGCTGGTAAGAATTTGGCTCCTGAAGTACTGGTGCCCTATCAGTGTGGGTCCCTAAAACTGGTGGGATGAGTTTGCATGAAGCACCAGGTTTGCTGTAGTTGTGGCTGATGTGTAGGCTTTGTGAAGGGCAAAGGGAAGGCAGAGATTTGGAGCTGGGTAAGATGTATGTGCAGTGGATGCTCTGTGTGACTCTGATTTACAAGCTGTTGCTCAGCCCTGGAAGCTGTGACCTACAGGAAGCCCATTTAATCCGAAAAGAATGAGCCAGCTAATGAACACAATAGGGCTGTAAAGTTGGAGAGCCTGAGTGGAGGAGATCCTGCTCACTGCTTGTTGTGTCTTGGAGCCTGGTCCCCGCGAGAGGAGGAGGCAGCTGCTGCTGTGGCAGTCCTGACTAGCAGGTGAGGTCCGTTCTGGACAGAGCAGCACAGGGAGATCCTCTTGGATCGAGCAGGAAGAGCCTTCCTCATCGCTGGCTTCCAGGTGGGCTGCTGAGTTGGAGACCCAGTAGTGACTTCAGAGAGTTCCTGTGGCTTCTTGGCTGGCATCAGCAGGTACTGGCAGGGTTGGAGTAGAAAGAACCCAGTGTGTCCTGTTGGGTGGGTTTCTCTTGTGTAACTCTTCTCAGTTTCATACCTGAGATCTGTACCCTTGGTTTGCTGTTTCTTGGAACTTTTTTCTTAGTGAATTTTTTGGAACTTGGCATTTATCTGGGGAGTCTGCCTAGAACAGAAAGACTTTTCTTCTTCAAAACAGCAAATCCAAGTGACACACACCAGTCACTCTTGAGGTGCCTGTAGGCTGGAAAAGCTCAGGACTCTTTCATGGCAGTCCTCTTGGGTGGCTTTCCCTTCAGTTGTAAGAGGTACCTGGAGAGTGGCAGTGCCAATGTCAGGTCTCTGGGAGCAGTGCCACCAGCTGCTCTCACTTTTGGGCTATCCTGAGGTGCTCGTGGGATTGAAGTCAAGTTACTCACTGCCACCATTTGCCCTCTGGAAGGCTGGTGACCAGACACCTCCCTGGGAGGATCAGGGCTTGGTCTGCTTGGACTGCTTGGGATGCTGTCTGGCCATCTAGCTCGTGGGTTAGTAAAAGCCAAGAGTACAACTTGATCATGGTTACTCTTGGCTTCTCTGAAAACCTGCTGCACCAAAGCCCATTAGCTGCTCTGTGGTTATTATTTCATATGTGGGTAATGAAAGCCATGTAAAACACAAGTTTCTACACTGTGGCCATAATAAACAAGGTGAACCTTCAGGCAGTTCCTTATTTACATCCTGTACTTTTGAATAATTTACCTCATGCTCAAGAATGATGATATTTCTGCCTGCACTGCTCGGGAGCCTGGGATGAGATTGTTTCCCTGAGATGTAATTACTGTAGTTCAGCATACCTGCTTATCAGACAGGCACCTAAAATGAACAAGAGTGTGTAAAGTTCCACTGAAATTTTGGCTTTTGGGGGAGGACAGTGTTGCACCAGGCAGTGAACTGTTCTTTTTTTTTTTTTTGCTGGTCCAAGTCAGTTTTGAGGGTGTTTGCTCTTGCAGTAAAATACAGTGAGTGTAAATGCAATTTAAACCCTGCTGCATTGTTTGTTCAGCCTTGGGCAGCCTTCCTGCCTTTCTTTGCTTGAGCTTTGCTGCTGAAGGGTTTGCTTATCCCAGCCACATTGCAGAGGTGCTTGTGAGAGGTAATGGGACCTGTATCTTGACCATTAACTAACACCTGAAATCAAGAACTGTTGGGCTGAAACTTGGGCTCAGTAAGTGTAAAAAACCAGTTTTCTCTTCTCAATGTAGTAACAGAGCTGCCCAGATTTTATGTGCTTATAGTTCCCTGTACAGGAGGTTGAGTTTGGCTGTCCTTGGCACAGATACATGTGCACAGACATGTCAGTGGCATGATCTTTGTGTGTGTTAGGGTGCTCTGCCAAGCACAAAACCAAGGTGTAAATTGTGTTTCTAATTTAATTTATTCTCCTACCCATCACAGACCTTGTTGGCGATAAACGCCTGTAGCCAGGTTAAAAATTAATATAATTTGTTAATTAATTAATAAATTGGTTATTTAACTTAGAGCCTTCTTAAAATGTAACTTGCTAATCTGGCTGCTTTACTGTCTTGTGCTATTAAGCATTGAAATTACAATAGTGCCCTTATTTTCTGCCTATGATTGTTTTTATAGTTCAGATGGATGGAGCCCTGTTTTCTTCACACTTCTTTTTATTTAAAGTCTTTTGTAAGGATCAAAAGCTCTAAGCATCCTTATAGTCTTTGGGTTTAATTTTTTTAAGGTGAAATTGGTTCTTGGATGTAATGCTGTCCATCTGATGGAGCTCGTCTTGGTGTACTGTCCTACAAAATTGAGAGTGACACAAGCTTAAATGCCAAAAACTTGCCCGAAAGCCACCAAAACTTCTTGATGAACACATGAGGTTGAGGGAACTTCCAAGGCAGGGTCCAGAAGCCAGGAGAATTCTCTCCCTGGGAGCTGGCTGAGCTCTGCTGGGAGCTCCATGGTCTCTGTTGCCACCAACATTTTCAGCTGGGAGCAGTGTTCACACAGCTGGGGACAGTATTTACTGTCCTTCCTGTGCCCATCATGGGATGTTCCTGAACATTCCCCATGGTTCCCCATGTGCATGTCCCTTTTGGCTCCTCTTCTCAAGAGCTGTTCCAGCCCCAGCCTGCTGAGCCCAGTGAGCTGCTTGGAGATACTCCTGTTTGTGAGAGGAGTTTTTGCAGTCACACCTTAATTGCTGCTCTCTTCTTCTTCAGACAAGGCTCAGACCAGGCAGAGGTGCTGCTTCCAGGGGCCCCGAATTGGGGCCATAGAAATTTGTCAAGTGTTGACTCTGGAGTCTAATAAAAACCCAAGTGTCAAAATGGATCCCTTGTAACACACATGATTTAGCAGAAACTAAGTTCTTCCTGCTATTGCCATGGTGCTCTTTTCTTCCCTCTTTCCTAGACTTCTGGCAAAGCTTTGACGTATCTTGCTTTGAGAGCTTTTATGTTTTTCACTCTTTCTAGGAGCTGAGCCTGATCTGTCAGGCCCATTACTGGTGAAAGAGCTGTGGAAGTGTTGCAGACTGAGCCACAGTGATGGCTGAGGCTGAACGAGTTTCACAGTTCATTACACATAAGCACTCAAGTTCTACTTGTCTCTGCAGCTGCTCAGGGTGTCCTCTGCCAGCCTTCTCTGGTAGCAAATAACAATTTTTTCCTGGCTGTGCTTTAGTTTTCTGGTTGGTGGCACCCAGAAACTTCAGCTGAAAGTTGGGCTGAAGAGTCCAGGGAGCTTTCATTGAGCACAGGACACATGGCACCAAGCCTCCTGCAAACACCCCCTACTCCAGCTGTGTGGGAGAACCACACTTGGGACCTCAGGGCTGTTGAGAGCTGAGGATGGCTGAAGGTCCGTGGTATGTGACTTGCTGGGTCTTATTTTGCAAGCTTATTTCCTCAGTTTCTCTTGTGGTTTCTTTTAGAGCTTTACTCAACTTCCCCCTTTAACCCTCAGAGAGAGTTAATGAATTCACATGTCCTTGTCATGTGTTGCCTGAGGCCCAGGCTGAAAGCCCAAAATTCATGACAGGAGGGTTTGACAATGGGGTCAGCAAGAGTTGGGTCACTGCTATCTCATTTGCTTGGGTTGACTCTGTTCCCATTCAGGCACCTGTCATGTATTTAAGGGTCCCCTTTTGTATTATGGAGAGTTTGGCCAATCAAGATTCTGCTGGAGAGAGTGAGCAGAACTGAATAGCAGCATTACCTGCAGTTTTCCTTCCCCACGCAGCAGAGAATTGCTGGAAGGCTGATGCTGGAAAAAGGGCACTCTTTATTGCCAGTTTATTGAGTTCCATGCACATTTGTGTGACCCTGCAAGGCTGTGCATGAAGCTTTGTGGATGCTTCCTGTTTAAAGAGATGCTGTTTATACTGAACATAGCCCAGGTGTCTGCTTGCTGCTGCATTTACTCCAGCAAAGGGCAGAGCAGCAGCTGGGAAAAATGGGGAATTTGTGGAGGCCACTGTGTGGTCCCACAGGAGCTGTTAGTGGGACACACAATGGGGTTCTCATAATGCCAAGTACTGAAACATCAGTGCCTCACACTTTTTTTTTCCCCTAAAGATATATATTTTGATTTATTTTTTTGGGTAAAAGGATGACTTTGGCTTCTTCCTGCAAAGCAGCAGTTCATTGGGCTCCCTTTGGTCCTTAAGCACTTATCACCACTCCTGTGCTTTTGAGCTTATCCACACTCTGGGGCTGTGAGGGGGCTGAGGTATTGTAAAGGGGATGAAAACATGTGGTCATTTTTTTATGTTCTGTGTGAGACCTGCAGAAAGTGGGCAGCATATGGAGGATCTGTGCAGGTTAACACTGAAGAAGGTGTGTAAGTAAGGCATCACTCAGGTTTAATCTTCACAGGGTGTACACCTGCAGTCTAAGTTGCTGTCCCAGATGTTTTCTTTCTGTAAATGCCATTTCCTGGTGTTTTGGTTTCCTTCTAGGATTTCTCTGTATACCAAAACCTCTTTTTCCTTGATCCACAGGCTCACCTTTACACAAGCAGGGTACCACATCCACCACCAGCGCCGAGAAGTCGGCTTCGAAGGTCGCCGAGGTGGGCGATGATTTCCTGGGAGACTTCGTGGTGGGCGAACGTGTCTGGGTGAATGGAGTGAAGCCAGGAGTGATCCAGTACCTTGGGGAAACGCAGTTTGCTCCAGGCCAGTGGGCAGGGGTTGTTCTGGATGACCCGGTGGGTAAGAATGACGGCTCTGTGGGAGGAGTGCGCTACTTCGAGTGCCAGCCGCTGCAGGGGATTTTTACGCGACCGTCCAAGCTGACGCGGCAGCCGGTGGCCGAGGGCTCCGGGAGCGACGCCCCCTCCGTGGACTCCCTGACGGCTCAGAACTTGTCACTGCACTCGGGGACGGCCACGCCGCCTCTGTCCACTCGCGTGATCCCGCTGAGGGAGAGCGTCCTCAACAGCGCCATGAAAACGGGCAACGAGTCCGGATCCAACCTGTCGGACAGCGGGTCGGTGAAAAAAGGGGAGAAGGACCTGAGGCTTGGGGATCGTGTGCTGGTGAGTTGGCTCTGGGGTGTCAGTTTCTCGACATCAGTCGGGGTATCAATCCCTCGAGGTGGAGATTGAAGGCACTTGAGACTGTAGTTCATGTGGGGACTCAGGTGTTTATTGTTTCTTATCAGTGAAACAGCCTCACAGCCATGAGTTTGGCACCCTTTCATTAGCAAGGCACAAAATGGCTAACAGTCTCTTGTTATGAGGTCTTTTAAGGCTAAACTATCCAATTCAGACATGACACCTAGATTATTTTCCCTTTTAACCCAATAACTGATCCCAAAGAGCTCACAGTCCTGACTTTTCTGTCCAATTACAAAACATCACCCAAACCCATGGAGAAGAAGAAAGAAGAAGGTGAAGAAGAAGGAAGAAGGTAACGAAGAACAACCTGCCTCCGCCCTAAAACCTCCTTGCTTCATATTTATTTCTATATTCTAAAACCCCAAACTCTAAGTTTTCCACCCTGTGATATGACACTTCTAACCAACTACACACCTGTAATCCCAGTGCTATCAATCAGTTTTGGAAGTCTTCTCCACAGCCTCAGGTCAAATGCAGTGCTCTCTTGCAAGTCTGTGCCTTTCAGCACAGAAAGTTTAAAATTCTCAGCATCCAGGGTTCCAACAGAGGGGTCCCCCTGGAATGGCAAAGGACAAGGATTTGTCCCCCTGCTGAGTGTTCCTGGTCATCTTCAGGATGGGACAACAGGAGGACAGGGTTGGTGGTGAGGTATGGGATGGAGCAGGGTCTTGGGAAACACCTGGGCTAAGTAGGCATCAAACATCTGCACTGTTGTTTGGGATGCTGTGTCTTCTGGACATGTCTGTCTTTTACACTGGTGCAGGAGAGGATGTTCCAAAATACTTCTTGTATTGGACAAGTCTTGAACTGTAGAAAGATGTCAGAGAGAACAACTGAAATATGAAGGAAATAGAAGCAACATCATTTATTCTGTTCTAATCTAGTGATACTCCATAATGACTGTATTATTTGGGCGTTCAAGGAATTTGCAGTAGTCTTGTTGCACGTGGCTGTACAGAGTCTGAAAGGACTTGAAAGAATCTGTCCTCCTGGTCAGTCTTTCTGGTGGTTCAGTTTTCTTATGTCAGATGTGACACAAACTCCTTTCCTGTACAGAAAGGAACCTCCAGTAATTTTTAGAAGATGGCAGGACTTGGTGAGAAATCATTGTTGTCATGGATGAGTTCTCCACATCGGATTCCTGTTGTTATTTTCATTATTTGGAATAGACTACCTGATGACAATGCCAAAATGCCACAATTGTACTAGGAATGGGTTACTGGAAGTTTGCCACCTAGTTTGTCACCATTTGTGTCCCAGCAGAGGAGATGGAGAAGGGAAAGAATGATATCAAAGACATGAAGACTGAGTTCTGTCCTGCCGCTGTGTAAGAGAGTTTAGTTTTGTTAGTGTGTGTGATACATAGTGTGGTATCAAATATTGGAAGAGCCAGGCCTTGAGCACAGATCTGTTTTGAGTGTATCCCCAGTAATATCTCTGCATCTGGAAGGTGAAGGTGACTCTGACCAACAGCCATGACAGGCTGCAGAGGGGTCAGTCTTTGCACACCCTGGATAATCTCAATCCCAGTTGAAGTCATCCATGCAGTGTTGCAGCTGGTTGCAGAGCCAGCAGTGGGTGTGGGGAGGGCAGACAGACTGGACATGTGTTTAATTACAGGCTGGACATGTGTTTAATGACAGGCTGGACATGTGTTTAATGACAGGTGCTTGGTAGAACTGGCTCCACAGTCCATGTGAATCAGGAGCGTGTGCAGGGACTGCCAGAGCCAGTCTCAAATGTCCTTTTGGGACTAATGTTGGGTTGTCCAGCAGTTCTTATTTTAGTTATATAAAATATAAACAATGTAAAGCTGGTGATTTTCAGAGGAGGGAAAGTGAAGATTGGTTCTGCTTGTGCGCACTGGATGATGCTCAGTAAACCTAGTGTGAATATGTAGGTTTGTAGAATTGAGAGAGTTGTATTTTCTCAGATTTTCCCCAAAACGTGCACAGGAGCTGACACTTGCTCAAGGGTCTGTCTGCTTCCTGGTTTCAGCAGAGTCAGCTCTCTCCCCTCCCCATCCCTGCTGGCAGGGATGTCCCTGCAGGACAGGGTGGGCAGGGCGCGGTGGCAGCCCTGTCCTGTTTGCACAGCGTTGGTGCTTCCTGTGGGTATGGTACAGCAGCCACACACAGGGAATGAACCTGAGGATCTGCCCCCTTTTGATGGGTTTACTTGCTCCCATTTTCTCCTTTACCTCTTGCAGGGAAGTGTTCAGGTGAGAACTTATGATTTTACAAGCAGCAGCTATAGAAGGCAAACTGCAAAATATAAAATCCATAGTAAACCTGGCTGTGTTCTTTCTGAATCTGGCAAGCAATGGAATTATGTTCTCCAGACTTGTGCTATCCCTTTTTTCTCCTGACCATAAGTTCTCTGAGACAGGACCTGTTCCCTGAACACTGCTCATCTCAGTGGGGCCCACACTGTGAATTTTGGCATAGCCACAGAATACACCTAGGACCATCTCTCCCTTGGGCTTCTGTTGAGCTGTGTTTTGGGAATGGTTTGGGTTCTTAGTTTATTTTTAATGAGGGTGCATCCTTAAAAGCCTGCCCTCCCTGCCTGCTAATTTATCCACGTCAGATATTACTAGATAAAGTTTGTGCTGTGACTTGTTAGTGTAATAAATAGCTCAGAAGAGTGAGCCTGGAAGAAGCTTAGTCTCTCCCTGGTTCTAGCAGGAATGCTCAGCTTACAGAAACATGAGGAATTGTTTGCACACAGTCATAGAGATCCAGGAAAAGAACAGATAATAACAAGAAGAAATAATTTGCTGTTATGGTTCATTCACATCTGCTTGGCTTGGCAGCTTTTATTTTACTTACGGGAGGAGTCAGTTAATCATGTTGAGTATTGGAATACATAAACAATAATTCTGAATTAACCTTAGTTGCCTGAAATTCCTTGAGCCAATCTTTGCACATCCTGTATGGATTAGTACAGTTTTAGTTGTCTTTATTACTCTCAGTGTTTCCTGTTCTGAAAGAGTGTAATTTTATCTGAGAGTGGCTTTTAGATGTATGGGATCCACCACAGGCTTTTCAGGACATGTTTTCAGTGGGTGCACGAGGTTGCAGGGGACCCTTCCAGGTCAGCCAGATGGACACCTGGCTCTCTGCAGTCTGATGTGCCTTTCTTTAACTTCATTAAAGTCCATTATAGCTTGAAGGCATTTTTGCTTTTCAGTTACTTTGTTCCAAGACCCTCTCTGACTCTCCAGCAGTTGCAGAAAGTGACTTTCAGCTTTCCATTAGGAGCTTTCCATTAGAAGACTTAGATAATATTTGCCTTTGGCACTCGGACTTTTTCCCAGAGATGTAAAAATTGCATTAAAGAGATGAAAAATCCACCCTAATGTTGTAGAACTCATCTCTTGAAGTCTGGCAAATAAATGTGGGACAATTAACCTTTGCTTTAGTGACAGCTGAGCTTCCTGAAATGGGATAATTGCTGAAGTTCTGTTAATGTGAGGCTGGCTTACTGCCTTTCTGCAGGGAAAAAAGGCTGGAAACAGAGCAGTGGAGCATTTTCTGCCTGGGAGGAATTTCTGCTTGGTTTTTTGCCTAAGAAAATGTATTTAGCATTCTTTGTGGAGAGGCCTTCTTAGCAGCTGAACTCATTCCCCCTTAAATGCCATTGCTTTCTGAAGAAGTGGGTGAAGTAGGTGGTTTTATTATATGTCAGCCTAAATAAAAAATAATTTAAACTAAAAAAATTCCTCTTAGAATAGGTATTCTGCCCTTCAGCCATGCTTGTATTTCCTAACTGGAATTGTGCAGCTCAGCACTGAAGTGATAAATAAGGCTGTTTAAGGGCAGGGTATATCCCAGGGGCTGGCTCAGGGATACTGCCCCAGGTACCTTTTGGATGGATGCCAGGTTTGTGATTTTGCTGGAACTTGCAGGTCTTCAGAGCCAGTGCGAATGCTGGGCCAGCAGCACTTCAGCTGACGCTGGGCAGGGCTGGAGCCTGCGCTGCTGGGAATGGATCCTGGCCTTCCCCCGAGCCTGTGGTTTCCATCACCTTGTCTGTCTGCTGCAAACTGCTTTTGCCTGCAGTGTGTTGAAACTCCTGGCCAACGATGGAAAGCACTCATGAATAAACAAATCAAGTTCTTTCTTCAGTTTCCCCCCGACCTGTCCCTGCTGCAGCCCTGCTCGGCCAGCCTGGAGCTGCAGAAAGCATTGCACCTCCTGAGTGAGAAATAATTTCCTGAGAAGCTCCCTGGGCAGGAGAATTGCAGCCTAAGCCCTTCTCCTTGGGCAGAGACAGATCACTGCTCTGCTGCCAAAATCCCTGAGCTATTTCAGTGCCTGAGACTGAAGCCTCGCTGCAGGAAAGGCGTGCAGGGTGTCCTGAAGAAAGGATTCCAGCTCTTTATTCTCCTGGGTAACCATTGGAGCTCTAGAGGTGCAGCAATGCTCTGTCACATTCACATTCTCTGAAAAAATCCCTTCACCCAGGATTTTTCTCCTGGGTAGCTGAGAAGCCTCAGAGAAAAGGAAAACAATTTTATCTCATTTGCTTCTCCTGTGTTGTGCTCCTGTGGAATGTGTTTGGAGATTGTTTACCCACAGGTGATTGTTTCACTGCATTCTGCTGTGAGTTGTTTTCACTCTTTGGCCAACCAGGGCCAAGCTGTGTTGGGGCTCTGGAAAGAGTCACGAGTTCATTATTATCTTTTTAGCATTGAGTAAGTATCCTTTCTGTATTCTTTAGTATAGTATTCTTTAATATATTATAGTATAATAAAGTAATAAATTAGCCTTCTGAGAACATGGAGTGAGATTCATCATTCCTGCCTTCGTCGGGACATTCCCAGCAAATACAATAATGCTCCTTTCTCAGACAATCACCAGGCATATTCCCTTATTGCTAACCAGGCAGAAAAGAAGGAAGGATCCCATTCTGTA